TACTATGAATTTTAGAGTTTGAGAAGTTTATAGACATAAGATTAATGTGGTTTAAATGTATAACATGTGCTGTAGATACCTCGGTGTCACTCTTTTTCCTTTCTGGTCAAATCTGAGGCCTCATTCCCTTTCTCAGTTTTGTTAGTCCTCAAAATGTTCCTCTCTTTTATTTAGGTCAGCTCTCATGAGTCTGTCAATTCCCTTGATTAGAAACAGTTGCTTGCATATACTCCTACATGTGTAGCCTGCAAATAATACTGAAGTTCTAGCTTAACAAAAAACAATTAACAGAGGAGTATAGGGAGATTTGAGAAGGGGACAAGAACTAGGACCGCCACATTTCTGAGGCCTAAAGGGAATACCATAGTGACTCCACGGATTTAGAGGTGTCAGTCTGGTTGGAAGCTGTGTCTAGGGGAGCCTGATTTTAAGTCATCCATTGTACCCACGCTTATCATCCTTAGATCATATGTTTCAGATTGGTAACAATGTCAAAGTTGTCTAAAGTTGCTTTTATTAACACCATATAAAATTGAAAAAGATCAGTTGCCCATATGAAAGGATAAAATTGTTTTTATCATAGTAATGGCTCTTTGGGAAACCTGTGGTTGAGCTGACTGTGAGGGGAGGTAGAAGGCAAAGAAGAAACATCTCAGAGGAGAGAATATAGGCACTGATGGGCAGCAAATGCAGTCTGCTCACCACCTTATTATTTTATTCTCTTCAATTGCATTTACTCTCTGCCTGGTGACTGTCCCTGAAAGTACTTTGTTCCCCTTACTACTCCTTGACAAAGCATCCAGATACATGCCTTTTCCCTAATTCAGATGTGCACAGTTTGTGAATAATTTCACAGGAAGGTCTTCTGCAACAAAAAATTCCAGATATTTCTCTAGAAGCATTTTCATCTCCAGCACTCCCCTAAACTCTTTAAGTGGTTGTTCATAGACATGATTTTATCCAAGGAACAGTGTTCTTTATTGTTTTCAGTTTCTTTAAACATCTCTATGATACTGGAAATTTCATTGAATGTGTAGTCTTCCATGGAGAAATAAGGCTCTTACATTTTTTATACTCTACCTCTATAATAAATGATTGTGATAATTAATCGTGTCTTCAGAAGAGAAATGTGCAAATTAAACTCTAAATTTTATAGAATCCATTAATTTCAGTTGTATCTTCCACCAATTTATAGGCTAATCATAAATAAAGACATATTGGTTCTGATGGGTACAGTTTCAGTTCAGGATGATGAAACAATTCTGGACATGGCTGGTGATGATGCTTGCATAACAGTGCAAGTGGACTTCATGCCACTGAACTGTGTACTTAAAATGGTTAAAGTGGTAAATTTCATGTTATGTATATTTTACCACAATAGAAAAAATTAAGTTAGGGGGCTTCTGGTCAGGATGGTGGAATGAATGGTCCCCCACATCACTCTCTCCCACAAATCAACCAATTTACAACTATTAAAATGCAAGGGTGTATATTTAATTTTTTAATCCATTTTGAGTTGATTTTGGTATATAGTAAGAGGTGCAGGTCTAGTTTCATTCTCCTACATTTGAATGTCCAATTTTCTCAGCACCATTTATTGAAGAGGCAGTCTCTTCCCCAGTGTGTGATCTTAGAGCCTTTGTCAAAGATCAGCTGGCTGTAGGTGCATGTAGATTTCTGGATTCTCTATTCTGTTTCATTGGTCTGTTTTTCTGATTTTATGCCAGTACCACGCTGTTTTGGTTACTATCACTTTGTAGGATAGTTTAAAGTCAGGTAGTGTTATGCCTCCAGCTTTTTTTTTTTGTTCAGTATTGCTTTGACTATTAGCAACATGGATGAACTTGTTACTATCACTTTGTAGGATAGTTTAAAGTCAGGTAGTGTTATGCCTCCAGCTTTTTTTTTGTTCAGTATTGCTTTGACTATTAGCAACATGGATGAACTAAGAGAAAATTGTATCAAGTGAAATAAGCCAGGCACAGAAAGAGAAATACCGCATGTTCTGATTTGTAGGAGCTAATAAAAACAAGTAAATAAATGAACAGAGGCAGGGGGTTGGTGGGGAAAGAAGACACAACAATCACAATTCCTTGATTTGGTTAAGACAAGTGAACAGCTATGATGTTGATGTGGGGAAGGAGGAGAGGGAGGGAGGAAAAGGAGAATTTGATATAGGGACTTGAAAATCAACTATATTGAATATTGATAAATTAAAATAAATAAATAAATAAATGTGTAAACTATAAAATAAATAAATAAAAAGCAATGATAGCCAAGCTGGGGCTGATAGAGCTCAAGGGAAGAGGAGGAGAGACCTATGGAGTGCATGAAGACAGGAGAAGCCACGATGAGAGAAAGAAAGGACCGCTCCTGCTATTTCAAATCCTGGCTGCTTCAAGGCTGGAGCTGGTGAGCTCACGGTGCAAGAGCTAGCAAAAGCCGCAGCGGTGCCCTTCCTATGAAGTTGCTTGGAGGCAGCAGGGGAGAAGAGGGCCTTGGTGGCCCTCAGGCATGCGAGAGCACTAACAGGGTTCCCATGGTCCCACATAGGAGCAATGAGCCATAACAATTGAAAAAGGAGCCACTCAGAGGCTGGTGAGTCACCGCTAGGGACCGGTGCACAGTCCATCCCATGGGAAGTGTTTGGAGTGCAGGCAGTGGGGGAGATGGGCCACCACAGGAACATTGGGGCACAGCAAGAACAGCTGATCTGCCCTCCAATCAGCACTGGCCCACTCTATGTAGACTGATCAGGAATATAGAACTGCAAGGGAGAGCAGTTTGCTGAAAAGATTCTACATAACTCAGGTGTACCAGATCTCAGGAGACCCAGACGTACTTATAAAGTCAGCCATTAAAACCTGAGCTGCACAAAAAGCCTTCCCCAGGGAATCAGCAAGTAAGCAGCAATTTAGCTCAATCGTAGAACCCAAGTGCTGGTCCCCACAGGAAGTTCCTCCATTTTAGAAATAAGTAAAGGACAACAAATTAGTTCCAGTGCAGAGTTTAAGTAGTAGGAACAGTGAATAATCCAACACAACTGAAAGAAAAAACAAAATATCCATAGACCAGAGACAAAGTTTGATATTAATTAGCAAAGGTCTCACTTCACCAAAGAACACCTATAAAACCTAGAAGGACCGGAAGCCCCCTGGGCCCCAAAGCCAGGGAGAGGGAGGGCTGGGGGCCTCAGCCATGTCCTCTGACACTCACAACCAGCCCAGCAATGACCTCCGAGCTGCCGCAGGAAGTGCCCTGAGCTCCCAAACCAGGATGATGTGGGCCCTCGGGCCTCAGTCATGTGCCTCCCACCTGCACCCAGCCCAGCAATGACCACCAAGCCACTACAGGAAGCGCCCCAGGCTCCCAAGCCAGGGCGGTGGGGGGCTGAGAGCTTTGGTCCCACACCCTCAACATCTGCAGTCAGTCCAGCAACAGCCACCAAACCACCGCTGGAAGTCCCCTGGCCTCTTGATCCAGGGCAGTGGGGGGTTGAGAGTTTCAGCCACACCCCCCTGACGTCTGCATTTAGTCCATCAATGACCAAGCCACCACTGGAAGCCTGGTCTCCCCTGCAGGAATGAGGAGGGTGCCAGGGGCCTCAACCACATCCCTCCTCCTTCCTACTTCTCCCACCCTATTTCCTTCTCCCTCCCCCTCTGTCCCTCCCACCCAACTGCTCTGCAACAGCATCTTAGAATGTAAAAAACAGATGGAGCCGGGGACTGACCCCTCCTCCTGCAACCAGGCACACTGCTGCTGCCACGGGGCCTGTCCGGAGTCCTGAGGCATGGAGTTGGGAATCGATCCCTCCTCCTACAACCAGGCATGCCACTACTGCCATGGGGCCCACACGGGATCCTGAGGTATGGATCCCGTGACCAACCCCTCCTCCTGCAACCAGGCAAGGAGCACGCCAAAAACACCACTTCCACGTGTGTGGCCCACTACAGTAGCCACAGCTGCCACAAAAGCAGCTAGACACCCCAACCACATTGCAGATGGCCCACCAGCCACTCAAGTGCATTGACACAAGGAGAGTCACCAGCAGATATCAAAGAAAAGAAGAGGTTATCTCTTTCACAAAGCCTATTCCAGAGGATAGAAGAAGCATCAGCTCTATGATAATAGTGGGGGACCTGAACACACCTCTCTCAGCACTGGACAGATCATCTAGGCAACAAATCAACAGAGTAACTGTTACTCTTTCAGAAGGAGAGAAGAAATCTAAGGTTATCAGAGGTGGGATGGGGGAGGGAGAGGGTACTCTTTCAGGAGAGAAGAAATCTAGGGTTATCAGAGGTGGGAGGGGGGAAGAAGAGGTGGATGGGGAGAGATTGGATAAGAGGCATAAAGAATAAGTACTATTTGTAATAATATATATGCTAAGAATATTGATTTGATCAACATACATCAACGTATTTGTAATAATATATATGCTAAGAATATTGATTTGATCAACATACATCAACGTTGAACCCCCAAAATATGTTTAATCAATTATGATTCAATTGAAAATAAGTAAATAAAAATAAAAATAAGTAAAGCCATGTTATTGAATTTTATTTAACTTTCCTTTATCCTATATGTACTTTGTTAAATAATGAAATGTTGGGAAATTCATAAATTGACGATTTTGTTTTGAAAAATTAATAGTTGTTTATATAGAATGATTTCCAGGCTACTATTAAACTATAATTTAATGAATTATAATATTAAATAAATTGCTTTTCTTCCTTTATTTTAGGTGATGGTATTTGTACATGCTCGAAATGCCACTGTAAGAACAGCTGTGTCTCTAATAGAAAGAGCAAAAAATTGTGGCCAGATTTCCTGCTTTTTACCTACCCAAGGACCTGAATATGGACATGCAGAAAAGCAGGTAGGGAACAAATGACAGCAGCAGGACTAGAACTAAAGCACGTAGTGTGCCACATATACCAAATATTTCATATGTGAAAGATTCCCAGTTTCTAAGTTACTTTTACAGATTTATCATGTTATCATCGACTTTTTTCTTGATTTTATGATCTTTTAAAAGGTCTCACTGCATGATGTATTTACTTCCCATTTCTTTCCATGTTTATAATTGAAGTATTTAGTCCTGCTCTTTAGAATATAATTAAATGTAAAATGCAGTTAAATTTTATAAAATATGTTAACATCTAATGGGTTTATTATTGTTTTTATAAATAAGAAATATATTTACAATTTCTCAGCTTTAATTTCTAAGGTTAATATTGACAGATATAACTTAATAAACAAAAGCTCTTTTTAAGAATGGGAAGGAATCCTGAGACCAAAAAGTTTGAGAACAACTGCCTTGCTTCTCAATGTATGCTCAAAGAATCAAAAATCCTTGGGCTTACCAGCATCATTGTTAGAAAAGCAGAACCTCAGGCCCTAACCGGACTTACCCGAATCTGCGTTTCAACTACATCCCTAGATGAATTTATGCACATTACAGTTCAAGAAGCATTGATCTACGTAATTCAAGTATTGAAAATATCTTAAGATTTATGAAAGGTTTTATCAAGTAATGATTTATAATGGTTTATAATTTATAATGGTTTATAATTTATAATGGTTATATCAAGTAATGATTTAGATCACGATTGGACAATCTCTAGCCCAAGGACCAAGGGTGGGCACCTGCTTTTGTAGTTAAAGTTCTGTTAGAAACAGCTGACCCATTATTTACAAGGAGTCTTCAAGAAATTCATGGAAAGATTTGTTATCTTTTAATTTTATTTTTCCACAGAATTTTGAAGTACCCTTGTATTGTCTATGGCTGCTTTTTTGCACTGTAGGGGAAGAATTGAGTAGTTGTGATAGTAACTTCAAAATTTTTATATGTATAATATGTTTTAACTAATTGTTTACAGAACAGCTGCTAGCTGCCAGACATTGTGCTTTGCACTTTCATATTTAATTGTCATGACTGTACTGTAAATTTTATTATTTTGTATTGATATTTTAAATTCTTACTATGAGAAGCTGATGCCAGTTGCTTTGAACATCAGAATCTCTTTGAATTTAAGACTAAAAATAGTATCCATTTTCTTCATTTTTTTCACTTTATAAAATTTTCTATTACATAACGTTTATTTTACAGCATTGCATTCTTCCAGTTATTTATTAGTCGTGAGTTTATGAGAGCCTATGGAAAGTCAAGTTGGTATCCATAAGTCTTGTTTCATTTCTTTGGAAATAGAAAACAACTGCATTGTGTTTAAATGCCAAGCCTTGAGAGCCACCTTGTGGATTTCTGGTTACTTCATACCTGTCAATTCTGAGAGCTATTGCTATTCTAACTAATGAAGGTTTATTATTTAACTATTATAATAATCTTTAACATTTATTGAGTGTTTGCTAGTGCCAGGCATTTGTTTTGTTTTATATAGCTCATTCAATCCTCACGACAGCCTATGATGTAGGTTTGTACTGTTATTATCCCTTGATATGGCACATGTGTAAGTAATTTAAATATAGCATGAAATATTCTAGAGCATGTAGAAATAATTTATATAGAGACATTTTCAAATGGTGTTTATTTAAGGCAGTGTCACCAAACACAAATTCATAGGTCACTATGCTCAAAAAGAAATAACCTGGAGAAATGGAAAGTTTTAATATAGTTGGGTAGACTTGAAAATCTCTAGTCATTTTTATTATACCTTTTATATACTTTTATTATACTTAATTTTTATACCAATCCAACAGTTATTATTGGATTTTTTTTTTTAACAAGAATGAATCCCACACACACTTATTAGTACATGTTTTCAAGGAACATTTTCCTGCTCAACATTATATTCCCAGCCCTTCATATGGTATTTGTTTGATACAGTAGTAGATAACCCAAAATTACTTTTTTTCTTTTTTTGCTTTTATTCCTCCAAGACAGATACCATAATAAATGTTTTTACTTTAATTTTCTCATTTGATCTGCACCAATATTCTGTCCTTTAAAGATTCTTATCCCTATTTTATAGGTAAGGAAACTGGCCTTGCTTCCCCAGGGAGTGAATGTTTTCTCCCCCAAATTCCCCTTATGTTGCAATCTCTGGAGGATAAGGAAATCAAAACTGAGAAAGTAAATAATTTTCTCAGAGACTCCCAGGTAATAAGTGCACAAGCCCTGATTTGAACCAGTCTGACTCCACAGCCTACCATTTTCAATACTTTGTCCTATTTGTTCGAAAGCAAACAGATCAAATTCAGTCTGGGACTTTCTGAAGACTTTACGGCATTGAGTCTTTTTTTTTTTTTTTTTTCTTTTTTCCTTTTCAGATAAAATGGAAGAACGTTTCTTCAATTTAACTATATCTCTTACTTCTCCTAAAGAGAGATTTTTGTGGACTCTTCCATAGTGCATATTATAACAAAAGATAAGGGAATCTTTCTGAATGTTTTCTCAAAGCTCCAGAATTTATGGTTATTCTTCTAGTCCTAGTTTCTCAAAGTGCCTTTTGAACTTGAATGGTACTAACATTCTAGCAATTCCAAGGAAGCTATTATTGTGATGGAAGGCGATATTTCCTCCCATGTTTTTGAAAAATGGGAAGTTAAGTACTCAAAACGTTAAAATAAATTTAAAAGGTAAGTTTGCTATAGTAGTACATAGAAATTTAGCCTCATGACTCATGTTAATGAAAATACAGCTAAATCCCTACCATGCCACAGTGATACTTTACCCCTAAGTGGTTAATGTAACCATCTCAATTTCTGACTAACAAGATCTTCAAAGCACTCTTTACTGTTTTATTCAACATAATATAACTTTATTTGTATAAATAATAAACAAAACTCCATTGAGAAAATCCTCCTTTGTGCACACACGTGTAAGTGTGTAATAAGGCTATTTCTATGCCTTAGCTGCAACTCAAAATGGGTCTTTTCTCTCCTGTAAGTAACAATTACACTTCAGGACACCTCAAACCATTTCCATCTTTAATGTAAAAGTCACCTCAGATGAAAAACCACCTATACTGTATTTCTGAATTGTCCACTGAAACAGGAAGGTAGGGAAACGAAAGTGGAGTGCCTCCAAGAGTAGCTTCAGCTGTAGAATGGAGCTTGCTCGGGGCTTCCCCTGGGTAAGGGAATAGTTCAGGAATTCCAAAAGAGGCCCAAAAGAAAAGGGCACATTAATAAAAATCTCCGGTTGTGACTTCACTTCTAGAAGCCTGTAGCCTTCGACAGGTAAACATTTTTGAAACTTACTGCCTCTTCTATCAAATGGAATAATAATGGAGTAAATAAGACCTATTCTGGTGGCACTATGAAAAATAATTGGAATCATGTATGAAGTTGTTTTGGAAGCTGGCTAAACAATTGATAAGATTTTACATATCATATCATAGAAATCTGTTTGGGGGAATATATACTAATAACTGAATTTAAAAATGGTGAAACGATAAGGATAATGAACAAAATGGATAAATTTTTGCTAATTTACCTTGAATGTTGTTACTTTTTTGCCCTCCTTTGCAAAGATACTGTCTTAGGAATCTGCCATTTTCTATAAAATAAAACTTCTCTCAAGAAATAGTAACAGTTTATATTTAGAGAAGTGTAAGTGTATCATTAGGAATGCAGATATTTTCATTATTAAGCTGGTGTTTTCAATTTTGATTTTAATCTTAAGTGAAATGAATATTCAGTTAGAATCATCAGTTTCTGTTTTCACTCAAGATCTCAATCAAATCAGTTTTTTCCTTTAGGAAATCTGCCATTTTCTATAAAATAAAACTTCTCTCAAGAAATAGTAACAGTTTATATTTAGAGGAGTGTAAGTGTATCATTAGGAATGCAGATATTTTCATTATTAAGCTGGTGTTTTCAATTTTGATTTTAATCTTAAGTTAAATGAATATTCAGTTAGAATCATCAGTTTCTGTTTTCACTCAAGATCTCAATCAAATCAGTTTTTTCCTTTAGGAAGAAAATTTGTAACAGGTTTTAAATATTCTAGTATGGCAGTAAGTATTTCCACCCACCCCTGTATAGTGTTTCTCTAATTTATGGACACTGATATGGGTTCGGTTTTTTAATACATATCAGTGATACTGAGAGTTTTTCTTTTAGGTAGAAATGGTCTGTATGCAATAAGTCTCATGAATGTAGTTATTGGAAATACCTGTAGAACAAGTTAGACCACTGGGAGGAATCAAAAATAATATGTATCCTCAAGCTACTTTAAAGCATAATTTTATGACATTTTATTATCTAGATCTATCAACTGTTTCCTTGTTGTTTTCATAGATTCAGTCTTTAGCCTTTGCCTAAATCTATAACAACTGGAGTCTATGGAACTTGGATACAAGTTGTCTGATACTTACTACTAACAGCTTTCTTTGTTTTTGCTTTAGTAGCTTCACAGTGTCACTATGGTCAAATAAAATTAGAATTTTCTCTTCCTGAAATAGGTAATATGTGTTACTAAAGACAGTAGCAGGGGTGTGTAATAACCCCCTTTCTCTTATTTTTTAATTTAAATATATGCAAAATATTATCTTATTGGAGTTTATTCTTTCCTCAGCTATATTTTATAAACTTTTCCTATTGGAAGTAATATAGTAATTCTACTGTCTATTGCAACCACATAGAAAGGATGTCAAGAGTTTATTAGTATTTTTTTAAGTAAAATCAGAAAAAATTAGTAAAAAGCACAACTGATTGCTAATTGCATTTTTGGAAGCATGCCTTTTCTGTTTTCAAAGAGAGGTAACAATATAGAATAAATGCTTTGGATCTAGGCAAACCTGGGTTTTAATTTTGACTCACACTTTAATGGCCTTTTTAACTTCCTCAAGGCACAGTTTCATCACATACACAGTGACAATGATACCTGTATCTTAAGACTTTTGTAATAAGTAA